TACTTCCATACTTAGCAAGTGTTGTACATCTTCCAGCCTGTTTACCTGAAAAAGGATGTGCATGGAGTTCTCTAATAGTTTGACCTGCTTATTGCTTCCAATGATCAGAATGTTATCAATCCAAACTAACATTATTTCTCCTACATTACTAAGATACAATCCCGTCTCTACCAGTAATTTATACAGTCCTAGATATTCGGTTATATACTTGTCTAATATTCAGTGCCAATTCAGGCATAACTGTTTCAATCTATACAATTGACACTGCAATTTGACATCTGTTGGATTAACACCATCAGTCACTGGTGCAGAATTGAGGATGTCTCTTGTATTGGTCAGAATGACTTTAGTTAGATTGTCTCAATTAGTTACAAGTCCTCTTAGTAATTGCAAGTATATTTCCTCATTGAGCAGACTGAGTAAGAATCCTGGGACAATGTCAACCCATGTGAAGTCCAGATCTTGCAAAGCAGCAAGTGACAGAACTATTATAATTGTACCCCAGCTGACAGTGGGTGCATATGACTCATGATAGTTTATCTATAGACTTCGCCTAAATCCTGGAGCAACTAGACATGCCTTGTATCTTGTTACCTCATTGTAAATTCCCTATATCGGTTGGAGAACTATATGAAAGGATGTTGCATTCCGAATTTCTTCACGAGATTCATTCCGAATCACCTTCCATATCATATGATTATCCAATACAGTAAACCTGTCCTCAATTACACATTACCATATTTGTACTGGTGCATATGAGACCACCTCTCAGATCGAAGCTGGTCCTGAAGTCACTATATTCAATAGTTCTACAATGGAGTCATAGTTGTTGGTCGAAATTTCATATGTAGCTGGCTCTTGGGGTGGGCAATTAAATGCATGTATCATGAGAGCGGGCGCTGGAAAGATGGATCCTGATGTTGTGATCACACTGAAATGAAATCTTCTGAGAAGAAATATTATAATATTTCAACATCTTAGCAATAGAGTGTGAAGAAACAAAACAGTAGAACTTATTATTATTAAGCTATACCTTTTACTCAATTGTATCCTGATCTCAAGAAGTAGTCGATTATCAGAATACAGCACTAACAAATACTTAAGTGGATTTCATATACTGCCAGTTACTCCCCATCACTACCCCATGTGCTATCTCTATTATAACCTCAGCCAAAGAAAAAAACACCTTTTATTTTTCGCCAAGACTGGATCTCTTCAGTTGAAAACCTTTTATCACCTTCTCAGTTGTATTTATCGCTTAGGGTGAAAGACATTTTCAATTCCACCATGTCCACTGGCAAAAAGAAAGAAAGATAGGAGGACAGCAGTGCTACACCCCCTCTCCAGAGGACACAAACCCCACCTATGACTAGGTCTTCCATGTTAGGCAGCCAGCCCATCTTATGGCCTATTTCTGCGTTCCTATAGCCTGCCTCTCCATTCAGATCAAAGCAACAGCCGCTTATCCCGCCAAGTGATTCTAGGTGTTTACAATCAAGGAACACCTGCGCACAATAACAACATCCAAGATCTTTTGATTAAGATGGCGGTAGACGTGGACTTTCAGAAACAAGTCCTCCAATCATACATTATCATCTTTCACAAAATGCTGTAACATATACATGATGACTACAGGAAAGCAGTTAATAGGCTTCTTTAGTAAGTTCACAGCCTCACAGATGGTGTGAAAGTCTACAGGGTCTTTGCCTTCTCAATTCAAGTATGGGTAACTGTACTCAGCACTAAGCCTACACTGGCAGCACCCACCCCCAGCTATAGCCCTGGTAGTCAAGAAAGGCATCAACATGAGGAAAAGAAAACTCATCATCAAGCATGACGGTGCTCCTCTCCATGTGACTATCATAGAGCTAAGCAATAACATCAACAATTCTCTTTCTGCCAACCTGGTCAAAACAGTCACCCTCACAGGTGACCACATCAGCATCACCAACATGGATAATATCTAGGTTACAACCCTGAATAGCTAGATCTCTGCCATCATCTCCCTTATTCTTGGTACTACTATACCTCTTTCCACTTTGACACACCTGCCATACAACTAGTTGTGCACAGTCTACACACCTCTCTATCCCTTACCATACTTCTGACTGAACTCACTAACTTCTACTCTGGGCTTGCTCTTACTTACCAATTCAAGAGACTCACCTCTAGTGATTTAAAGGGCTACAAACCTGCCTTCTCTATTGTCATCACCATGTCAGGTCCCAAGGCACCACATTTTGTTGACAAGAGACTGGCTACTTTGTACACCACCATCACAACTGAATGCTGGCTATGTTTCAAATGCTATACTGAATGTTTCAATTGTCAAGGCTTTGGGCACCACAATATGTACACCTGACCA